CTCTCTCTGGTGTCAGCAGAGTAACCCAGACACTCAGACAAAATGCAAAATACTCAGACACCAGCCGGCCAGCAGGTGGCAGAGACAGGATTAGGACACAGCCTCCAGCTGACCCGCTGCCTCCTCTCCAGCTCCCAGCCAGGATGAGACTCAGCCAAGCACAGCCCGCTCAGTGCTCCAACATCTGTTAGCCAGCAGCCTCTGTGGGGTGCAGCTAATCCAGGGCATCAGAACACTGCAAGTCCACAACACTAGACATCATTCTAATAATGACCAAAACAAGAGTGGAAGTTGTTCCCTTCCTGAATGGGACTGGTGGAGTGAGCAAGGTCTGGGTCACGTGACCCAGCTGAGACCCAATAGGTTATCTGAAGTCAAGTCCCTAGTGGTGGTGCACACTAACCACACTGGCCCAGTGGGGCCTTGGAGGTTTGGCTGGTCCAGAGGGGAGCTGGTGCAAAGTAATACACTAGTGCAGGCTACAGCAGCTTGACTGATCCAGAGGGGAGGGGCCAGCATATGCTGTCTCTGTCTGCAACTCACTGGCACACTGCAGTGTGAAGGGTCATCTAGCCAATGCACTTCAGAAGAATTGTAACCAACAAAGAAAGAAACTGGGGCCTCCTGGAAGAAGCAAAAAAGATGGGAAGAGGAAGCAACAACAAAAAGTCCCTGGGCCCAACCCCGGGAACATTAACCCAGGACAGGTAAATACAAAGGAGAATGAGAACAGCAAACATACCATATCAGATACAGTGCCAGTGGACATAAACAGATATATTCGGGACCTCATAGATGAGTTCAAAAGTGAAATATTTACCCAAATAAAGCAAGACATAAGAAGATTAATAAAAGAGATACTAAGCACCCCTCAAGCAGACACAGATGGAAGAAGGGAGGAACTCAAACAAAGGAGAGAACGATTTGGTGAAGAATATAAAAAAATATTGAATACATGAAGCAGATTCAAAGAGATCACCAGGAAATTAAAAACTCTATGGAAAGATGGCAAATCAGCTTAAAAGAAATTAAGGACAGATTATCCAAACTGGAGGACAGTTTTGCAATGTGGGAGCATGAAAGAGAAAACTTTTTAAAAATAACAAGGAAATAAGCAGCAGCAATACAAATGCTAGAAGATGACAAAAGGATCTACAACTTGAGAATAAAGAATGTAAATGAAGAAGCTGTATACAAACTAAGGAACTACAAAGGTTATTCACAGAAATAATTAAGGAAAACTTCCCAAACATAGGAAAAGGAAATGATATTCTGATATATGAGGCATACAGAACTCCAGCCTCCTACAACCAAAACAGAGCTACACCCAGGCATATAATAATCAAGATCCCAGAAATTCAATATAAGAACAGAATATTAAAAGCTGTTAGAAACAAGAAACAGATAACCTACAGAGGAAGGCCCATGAGAATAACGGCAGACTTCTCGACACAAACCATCAAGTCAAGAAGAGCCTGGAGCAAAATATTCCAAGCCCTGAAGGAAAATAACCTCCAGCCCAGATTGATATATGCTGCTAAACTCTCTCTAGAAATTAATGGAGAAACAAGATGCTTCCAAGACAAAGAGGAACTTGGGAAATTTGCAAACACCAATCCAGCTCTACAGAGAATACTGCAGGGCATTCTAAAGAGAAAGAAAAGTACTAGGATTCCAAGAAACAGTGGCAGAGAGGCCCCAATGCATGGAGCAGAAAACAGAATGAAAAAGATAAGCGAACAACTGATAGCAAACAAGAGCATAACAGAAATGAGGCAGAGAAGATTTTATTCAAAACTGATATGATTGATGGTATCAAGTCTGAGAGTATAGGCAACTACACTGAAGATGACAAGACTCTACAATATGTATTCTGGTTTGATAACTGCCAGTTTTTGAAGTTCTATACTATATGCAGAGTTGTGCTTTTATATACTGACATTCAAATATACTATATCTGATGATATAGCTAATTCTATTGGAGATAACAAGAGACAACACAGGAACCATGGTAGAACACTTTGTACCATGGTCTTATATATTTATTTCATTTCATGTGTTTATAGGAATGTGTTTTGTTTTGTCTTGCTTTGTTTTGTTTCTCCCTCTAACATAGAAAGGATAGAAATACATGTTAAGACTCATGCATGTATAGAATCTATAAACAGTTTATGAGAACTGATCATATGACATATGATGAAATGAACAGATATTTTGAATAAAAAGAGACACTAAAATACCCAGTACTGATCCTGGAGTGTCATAATGTGACACCCAGCAATAGTATTATTCTTTGTTCAGAGTGATATTAGACTGCTTGGGTTTATTCAATCTCAACATAATTGAAGAGATGGATAACTGCATGTATAAGTGCATAGGATTGATAACCATATTTCTAAGTTTTTGTTGGATAGTTGAACAGAACTGGTTGCAATGTCACTGAATCCCCACTTTATAAGCTCCACTTTGCTATCTTGGGTAACTATTTGTAAGAAGACAATCTGTAATCATCAACTAGTGATATCTTACTGTTTATTTTTTCTTTGAAATTATGCATTATTTCTACCCATTTTCTGTTTTGTTTAGTCTTTCTTTAAATTAAATTTTTTAAGAAAGACACTATAGTACCCAGTGCTGATCACGGAGTATCAAGATGTGAAACCCAGAAATACTGTTATTATTTGTTCAGAATGATTTTAATCTGCTTTAGTTTGTTTAATCTAAACTTAAATGAAGATATGGATAACTGCATGTCTGTTTAAGTTTATAGGATTGACAACCATGTTACTAAGTTTTTGTTGGACAGTTGAACAGAACTGTTTCAGTCTCCCTGTTTGAATTTCCTCTTTACATTTTTGTATCATTTTTGTTTCATTTTTGTATCTTGAACAACTACTTGTGAAACAACAATATATAAACATCAACTAGTGATTTCTTAATGTTTATTTTTTTCTCTGAACGTATGTATTATTTCTACCTATTTTCTGTTTTGTTTACTCTTTCTTTAAATAAAATTTAATTTAAAAATAAGCAATGTGTACTCTATTCTCAGAGCTTCTACAGCTGCTGGTTCACAAAATAGCTGATGGTAACAAGGGTAGTGTGTTGTCGGATCTTACAGTATCTGTCTCATAAAGTTTTAATCAACACAATTATGTGCTTGGAAAATTCCTACATGTAGCAGGAGCACCATAAATGCTAGTGGATATTATTATTATTATTATTATTATTATTGCTATCATTTGTAACATTAGACATAATAAAGCATATACTTCTGGCATTGCTCATCCTGTGTCTGACCCTCAGGGCAGAGACGGGTACCCACAGTGTTACATACCCCACCCTTCCTCCTCTCCTGCCCCTGCCCCGTCCCCCGTCCCTGCCCCGCGGAGAGATTGTGCTCCCTGACTTGCTGCAGTCAGGTGTAGCTTTTGCCCATAAAACACAACTGGAAGTCACTCTGGGTAAAAGATTTAATCGCTGCCTAGCCTCCCCCTCTCCTCTCCTTGTGTCTCTGAAGGTGGCAGCCAGTTTTGAGACAGTGGGACAGCAGTTCTGATGGTGGGGACAACCCCCTGGGAGCATCCTGACCCTGCAGGAGACTGATGGTAAACAAACTGCCACTGCTCAGACCATGGCTTGTGACACAAACACCTCCTGTTCTCCCCTGGGTATGACAGTCACTGTATCCCACAGCTGCTCAGAAGGCCTGCACATGGAAAGTGGTTCCACATGCTTTGCCTGGATTAGGAAACTAAAGCATTTTAATCAGCAATTAACCCAAATGATTTTAATCAAATGCATTATTTCAGCTCCAAAATCTTAGATTTGCTAACTGATTAGAATGTGGGGCTGGCCACCCTGTGAGGACCAAGTAAGTGATCATCTTTGTCCCAGAGCTTCAGCCCACATGTGCTGCATTCCACAGGGGCCACAGGAAAGAGCTGTGGGACTTCGGTGGAGTCCATTTTTCCAGGAAGTGGTCCTCCAAAGTCCTCCCTTCTGCCATAGGGAAGCTTCCTTAAGCCCCCTGCAGAAGGGCTGGGAGGTGAAGGAACTGGAGAACTGTTTAAGGAACTGCACTTGCAGTTTCTGTTATAGGAAGGGGGTAGGTCCTGTATCTCTGGTCCTTGCTGCTACAAGAATTAGTACATTTACCAAGGTAACAGCAAGCGTCTGAGAATGTAAGTAAAGTCTGCAAGGCACTAGGAACCGCCACAGCACAGCCCCTGGTAGAGGAGGAAGAAGATTGGGAGGAAAGTGTTCTCCAGAGACAACGGGTACCCCCAGACTTCATCCTCCACGCCTTGTTCAGGTTCCTGGAGTCCTAGGGGACGCAGGGTCCCGCTCATCGCAAACAAACAGGCTTAGGGTTTCCACTGGACCTCAGAACTCAGGAAGTCCCAGGTACGGGGTAGAGGGAACCATGTAAAGGTCCTTGCGATGGTGGCTTTGGGACTCTCTGCCCTTGCTCCAGAGAGGCTGGAGAATGCAGGGCAGGGTGAGCATCCTGGCAACAGGAGTCTGGTCACCGCGGTCCCTTGGATGTGTGACTTCGAACAGGACAAATGCATCAACCTCTCCATGAGCCGCAGGTTCTGCTCAAAAGGTGCAGACACGCTGGTGCCACCTCAAGAGTCGCTGTGGGAAGCAGAAGACACGGGCAGCAGCTGGCAGCACCTAGGGTGTCACACAGCCTGTATTGCCTGGGGCCTCCTCCACGGACTCCTGTCACCGGCTTTGCACCTTGGAACATGTGATTGTCTTCTCTGCGCCTTTGCTCTCGCAATGTTCTCAAGTCCTATGCCCTTTGTCAGGATTTGCGGCCCAACAGTTGGCCAGGTGCTGATCAGGGACAGAAACGCTGCTGGCTGGCGAGGGTTTCGGCGCACAGGCGACTCTGCAGGGTTGGGCATCCCCGTGCCCGGAACAGAGGAGGTGCTGCTCTCAGGTGCTCCTGGCCAGGCTGCCACCTCCCGTGGGGAGCACTAAGTCGCCCCTGAGACACAGCAGCTCTGCTCCCCACAATCCCTCCAGGCGCTCCCGGCGCTCTTGTCTCGGCTTCCAGCCAGTCTCCGCCGCGCGCTGTCCAGCAGGGGCCGCCCTGGGCCGGGCTCCGGAGACGTGAGTGAGGCGGCAGGGAAAGAGGGAGGGACGACCAGAAGGTGGCTCAAGCCCCGCCACACGCCCGGTGGGAGGGGTTTGGCGGCGGCCCCTTGGGCTCCGCGGCGCGAATGGAGCAGGAGTGTGCCGGGAGCGGGAGCTCACGCTGCTGACTGCGCCAGCCGCGCTTGGTCTTCCCAGTCTCGCCTCCTGCAGCCCGCGCCGCCCGCCCGCTGCAGGACCATGGGCGACCGGGCTTTCGTCCTCCTGTGCCTCCTCCTGTCAGGTACGCGCCTGAGGGACACGGACTGCGCGGGGGTCTCGGGGTGCGCGCTGTGTGGACGCCCGATCCAGTCGGGTCCGGTCGGACCGGGGTGCGGTGTGCGCGCCCGCACACAGACCCGGGGAGGGTGCGCAGCCGGGGGCTCTGGTCTCGCAGAGGACTCGGTGGCAGGGTTCTGTCTGCTCCCGCCCATACCTGCGTAGACGCCGTGCGTGGGGACCCGCGGCCACGCCGCAGTCCTGGAGAGCCTGGAGCCGGGCGGCAGGGGCCGGGCACGGGGTCCAACGCCAGGAGGCTGAGTCAGGTTTGGCCGCCGCCCTGAGGCTACTCGGGCGCTCCGGGCTCCCGGTCTAGGGCGTGCGACCTGGGTCCGCGCGAGATGATGAGACAGGACGGTCGCCGCGCGGTCCGGCTGTGGGAACTCGGGGCTTGGTCCTCTGTGCACTCCCGAGTCCGGGCTTTTGGACTGTGTCCCCGCGGTTGGTGACAGCTAGGGCCTCGCCTCGGACACGGAGTCCTCGCCGCAGGGCTCCGGGAGCTCTGCGCTGGGTTGGTCAGGGCGCAGGGCTCTGCGCGCTGCTGGGATCCGAAGCCCGGGTTTCTCCCTTTCCTACTTCTTTCAGTGGTATTTTCAACAGCCGGGCAGCTGGCCAAGCCGGATTAACTTGACAGGCGCTATTGTGGCTGTTTCCCCTTGAGAGGCTCCGCGGAGTTCTGTGGGGGTTTTGTTTGTGATTTTGTGTTAGTATAGTCTTAGCTTAGCCCCGTACTTGGAGAGGGGGAGCATCGTCCCCTTGTCTCTGTGAGGTCCCGGCCACGAAGGTCACAGCCACCCCCAGAGACCCAGGCAGCCCTACTGTCTCTTCCCTGCCTGCCCAGTGTCCCTCTCCCCAAAGACCACAAATCCCGCCAGGGGCCCTCCCTCGTTTTCTACAAAAATCACCCTCAAAGAATCTGTTTAGGGTCCGTGTCTTGCACAGCTGTTTCCGGTAGATTGTCAGCCAGGTGACATACAGAGAGCATGACAACCCCACCAGGGCCTCTGCACCCAGAGGAAGGGGTTTTCAGATCTAAAAGACGGATTTTTGGGAAAAGCAGCAGAGTCTAGTCCATGAAGGAGTAGGGCGGCAGGCACAGGGGTCTCCAGCTCTGCTGGGCTCTAGCCAGGCCCAAGAGGACCCTGTTCTTCTCTGCTCTCCTTTCAGCTTTAGGGGCTTCAAGTTTTAAATCATATCGTCATCATCATCATCATCATCATCATCATCATCATTGCTATAAAACCAATGCCTTCTTGAACCAAGAACAAGGTTGGGGAAGGCACAGTACCTGTATGGAGGACTAAACCCAAGAGCACTGTGCTCCCGGGCTGCATCTCCAGCTCTCTTTTTATTTTGATAGAATCTCACCGAGTTGCCCAGGCTGGTCTTGAGCTTGTGATCCTCCTGCCTCGGCCTCCTGAGTAGCTGGGATTACAGGTGCACCACCAGCCAGAGGTCTTAAGAGCAGGTAGAGAGGAAGTTTAGGTAGTCTTCGTTTGTCTGGAGGCCGATTCTGTTCCAAACTCTTCTCATCTACTGATTGCAAACCTGAAACTCCCGGGTTCAGCCCTGGAGGGGTGCAGGTAGAGTGAGCCAGGCTGGAGCATCACCTCCAGTTTTAATGGCTTCACTTTTTAGAGCTTTAGGGCTGTTTCTGCTTCATTCCCTTTCCTGCCGTGGCTGCTGGCTGATGTTCTGTGGCCTCATTTATTCACATCTGCCTCAGCAGAGATCTAAAGCGCAGTGAAACTTTCAAAGGCCTCTTTGCAACACCAGCAGAGGACAAAGAAGAGCCGTAATAGGTGGGGAGGCACAGACCCCTGCTCCTGCTGCTCTTGCATGTCTGCGCTGGTCTCCTGAAGGAAGAGTGTGCCCCTCCCCAAGCCAGGCATTCTGTGCATCTTCTTGTCCCCAGGTGAGCAGGACAGCACCCCAGCGCCCATGGGATCTAACCCTGACGTCCTTGTGCTTGAAGAAAGAGCCCTGCTACGCATTTTCAGCTTTCTGTCTGCTACAGGTCCTGATGTGGTCTTCTCAGTAGCCTTTTCCCAGATAGAGTAACATAAACAGAAAGTGCATACACAATCCCAGGAGGCAGGGCTGACTGTGGCTTGCCGGGATGGTGGAAGGAGTTCAGGCCTTCATGATCTGTGGTCAAAGGCCAAGACAGGACACCTACTCACAAGACACCTGACCTAAAAGGTGGCATCTCTTCCTTGTTATCTGATGCCCGGACAAAGGCAGGGCTTCAAGGTCTGAGCAGTAGATTCTTCCTGCAGCGGAATCACTGGCAGGCTTTGCTACACACAAATCCTGTTGTTCAGGGCTAGAGCCTTATTCACTCTGTGTGCTCCTATCTTCAAACTTGATGGGAATAGAACATCACAAGGCTTTAGGAAGTGTTAAATGATAGACTAGACAGATAAGTAAACAATACCAGGGATATAGTACATTTGCCCAGTGACCCTTACCTAGCCAGTACCCTCACTGATACAGTGATTATCTAGCAGCAGAGGTTAATTATACAGCTCCCTTTGGATGGTCAGAATCAAAGATCTTTACTAATATCTCAGTGCAACTCTTCCTGCAAAACCAGCAAGCAAATTAAGAGAACATTCAGCCAAGCCTACAGAGCGACTAAATTTTGGACAATAAACCAAAATTTGCTCAGTAACAAAGAGAAGTAATGTGTCACCAAAGACTTCATTTCTTCCATTGGGAATTTTGCAAACTGGTGTGTTTTTAAAGTCTCAGTCAGCTGAACCTTAAACATTCAGTACCCAGAACCACAACATTTTGGGTAATTCAGATCAAACAACTTGGGCAAAGATGGGTCATTTTTGTCTGAAAGTTCTAGAATGGTTCTTTCCAGAACCCTGAAACACCAGTAATGCCCAGATCTCTGACAGAACTGCAGCCTTTGGGCCTGGTCTAATTGTGTTTGGGTTTTTATGTAGGAAATATTGGTCCAGTATTTATCCTGTTAAGATTTTTTAGGTGGTAATTTTCCTTCTCAGAGAACAGCCCCACTGGAAATGGTGGACAGCAACATTTTTTAAATGTTTTCAGCAGAAATTGGCTGTCTTATCACCTAGATAAAGTCTGCAGTAAAGGAAAGGAATCCTGAAGCACTGATTACAACTGTGTAATTCCTTTCCCAAGCATCTGTCCCTGAAATGGAACACGATAGCATAGGAATAACTATGTGCTTGACTCTTACACTGTTAAGTGGCTTGAAAATGTTCAGGTTTCTTGTAGAAGACCGTGGAAGATCTATAAAGAGGTTGGAGAGGCGGTGTTTGTCTGCTTTACTCCAGGATTGCTTTCTCCTTGGAAATGCAGGGCTGATCACTTGCCCTGTAGGTAATGTGCAGGCAGGGTGACTCCCTGGTAAGACTCCTGTGCTGAGGTAGTTCACAATGCTTCTCATTTAATTATATCACAAATCATTTAAGTGCCCGATTAATGTAACATCCTAGCTTCCATTGTGTGAGTCTTTAAGTGCTCATTATAACCCTTGGTGTCAGTGTACTATTTCTGTCACCTGTTTAACATTCTTTAACACCTTTAAACCATTGCCAGTTCATTAGTGCCTGGAATGATTAAAACGAAAGAGACAGCTACAGAAATCTTCACGCTCATATTTCCCTTTGATGCGGGGTGATATTCAGTCAGTGAAAATTATACTATCTTGATTTTCCTTTGCCTGTTGTTTTGTTTGCCAGGTTTAGCAAATAAAAATTCAAGTTGTCCTTCCAGGTGTGTTGGTGTATGCCAGTAATCTCAGCACTCAGGAGGCTGAGATAGGAGAGAGGATTCTGCAAGTTAGAGGCCAGCCTGGGCTACACAGTGAATTCAAGGCCAGCCTGGACTGCATAGCAAAACTGTGTCTCAAAAAAAACAAAAACAAATTCCAGGTTGTCCGGTAAAATTTGAATTTCAAATACGCAGTAATTCTAAGTATGTCCCATGTAATGTGAAAGTCAGATTCCCCCTAATGGTTCTATATTTTTTCTGGCAGCCAGGATTAATCTTTCATCTGTGACTAACCAGTGTATTCAAGCTCATCTGTGCAATGAGTCTGATGTAAGATAAGCTTTATTTGGAACCTTGAGTCAGAGTCCTTTAGCTGCCTTCCACCACTCCATTCAAAATGATTTGTCCCTGAGGAAACACAGAAATTTTCAAGCTGCTCTCTCTGGGTAACCAACTGCACGGTTAGGATTAAAGGACAGCTTTCCCTGCTGTGGTGAAATCTGTGCCTTCTGATTGTGTATCGTTAGCTGTGCGTTTCTGTGTGCATCTGAACAATTGATGAGATTTCTGCAGCCTCTCTCACTTACATTAATGAGCCGCTTTAGACTGTTCCTTTAAAAGAACTGTGTGTTTCTTATGGAAGCAATGTTAAAAACAGCTAAGGCAGCTATAACTAGAAGCCTCATGGGACTAGGCTGGCAGCTGATTCAAAAAGAAAGTTACTGAGTACCTTTGGGTTTCACGGTTGTTTTTTTGTGCCAGGATCTTATGACATCTTACAAATTATTAATTAGCCAAGTTTTATATAATTCCTGCTGGAAAGGTTTATTAGTGTCACTTAAAAGCTTGGCTCTCCGGAGTTGGAAGCAACACATTAGAAGTTTAAACAAAAATCTTTTAAGCAATTTAACTGTGGTGGGTATGGGTACCTTCATACCTAGGGTGACAGGCTATGAGTAGCTGATTAAGTGGGGAAAATGATGGCAGATTAATATCTGTGATGTTTAGGGAACATTATCTGTTCAATACGAAAGGTGAGTGGCCTCGGATGTCTTGGGTGACAACGTCTTGAACTTACACTGCAGATTCTGACACCCAATTTTCTTTTCTGTGAGCAAAGAAGGAGGACATGGAACTGGACTGCAGGTGTTGAATAGGACAGGAATTCGAGGACAGGGGTTCTGTTTACTTATTTATGGCCCATGATTG